AAAAACCTTGTGGGTCTTCATTTTGTATCCCACAGCACACACCACCGTCAGCGGCCGCGAAATTCTCCGTACGGAACTGGGAAGCGTAGAAGTTTTGCTAAGCACAAGGGGTCGAAGCCCGCAAATGGAGTAAGACGAGCTTAAACTCAGAGACAAGGGATTTTTGTTGAAAGGCATACATTGAATTTTAGCAGATCTGATGGTTCTGTTAGGGAATTGAGTTCTTAACCCAAAGGAATACACAGTGGTCGCCATTGTGATTGAAGTCATGTTAGCTGTGGGAGGATAGTGTTATGGTCTTATGGAATGATTTTACTTCGAGATGTTCGCTGTTTGTGGATAAATGGGGGGATGAGGTGAGGAAATAGTTGGTACAATTGATTGGGACCTCAAATCCTGTCTCGGTAAATTCACGGCGGTGTTAAATATTTTTTTTTTCCTTTCTTTTTTTTTTAAGGAGAAAGAAGTTTTATTTATTATTTAAAATATTTTTAAAAATTCACATTATTATTTTCATTTAAATAACACCTATCATATTGATAAACAATTTACCACTAGTACAACGCCCGTGTTCTACACGGGTGTTTCATAAAAAATTAATTGTTTATCAAAAAGTGAAAAAAATAAATTTTTTATTGTGAATTAAAACACTATAAAAAATTTGTTTTTAATATTATTTTGAATTCTATAAAATATTTTTATGATTTATTTTACTTGATATATATTTATTTTTGTCAAAATTAAATAAATTAATTAATTTATTCGACGGTTAATAATTTAATTTAAGGCAAAATTGCATATAATATCACGACCTTTATCGCGATTGCAAATTAATCACGACTTTTCGACTTTTGCACAGAATATCACGACCTTCAATTTCTTGCAAAACGATATACGGACCTCATCACCTGTTCAAAAAAATCTGACGTGGCGAACAAAAAGACACCTCAATTGCTGAGTTGTATTCACCATCCGTTTTTTTTTTCACCTCACCAAGCAACGACGTTGTTTCGTCTGGCGTGGTAATTCGTTTTTTTTTTCCACCTCACCCAGAAACGACGTCGTTTCTTGTTCAATTATATTTTAAAATCAAAATCAGATTCATTTCAGAACCCTAAATTGATGAGCGGGAGGAAGAACCCTAGAAGAAGTGCTCTGAGGAAGAACCATAGAAGAAATTGGGTTGCTAAATTAATTATGTCGATTGATTCCAACTCATATAGGAGGACAAGTTCGGCAGCAACATTCCCGACTTCAGCAGTTCCGAAATTAACATGTCGACATTTAGAAGAGCCCGATCTTCTCACCTGTCATACTGATCTGAATCCGGCTAGGAGGTACTACCGGTGCAAATATCAAATGGTAGGTGAAGTGTAATTTATGTTTGTATGTTCAACAAACTGAATGAGGATCTTCTTAGTGATGAACAAATTTATGTTTTTGTTACAGAATTTTGCAAATTCTGAAGTTAATATTGAAGTTTTGAACTGTAATCTTTCAATTGTTTTTGCAAATTTTTCTTATAGAATTTTGAAGTTTCTGTTGAAGTTAACATTTTTGTTCATTGCACATTAAAGGATGATGATTGTAAATTTTTTCGTTGGTTTGATCCCGAGTGTTGACGGGCGTTCCGGTCAACGGTCAAAGAAACGGGTAATGAAAATGTGAAATAAGGAAAGGACAGAGAAATACGGATTAATTACGATTTTATTAATAGATCACTAGGTCGGCCTCTCGTACGAGGTCGGCACTTGTGATATCCTTACAAATTCTCACAGGGATTAGTTACAGATTTAGAGAGAGAAAGTAGAGAGGGAGTTTGAAAGTTAGAAATTCAACAACCCAGAAATAAATGAAGGGGCTGCTATTTATAGTGCTCTTAAATGTGGCATTGTTGAGGTACTGTTCACCGGTCTTGTCGTACAGTGTTCTGGCAGAGCAGTCCGACGTCTCCCTGATAAATATTAAATGCGATTTGAGGTTTTCCTAATCATTGCCTGTCAGGCATTTAATGCGCACATGGGGATCATTTAATGCTGGCAGGCTTTATGTCTTGGCTAGTGGATGCAGACCTGCAGGCTACGACGCCCTGTCCAATCGCCAATGATTATTCTCCAAGTGGCGTTATTATATTACTATCGGACCCCGCGCCTGTCTCCGGGACAACCGCTCTGAAGATTCAGGTTGGCTCCCGAGCTCATTCTACCCTTCTGGCCCTTTGGAGTCTTATTTCAGCCCACCACCTATTCGAGGTCGGCACCGGCACTTGAACAGCGTAAATGCCAGACTCGGGAATGGACCTACGGAGACGTGACGGTCAATTTAATTCGGGATTCAGCTCGGCACTTTCACGCTCGACCGAGCCTTTGGTTCGACTTTTAAAGTTGCCTTTTGTCCGGTTTCCTTTTGAGGCGAACTAGGATGTCAACATACAGGCGCCCCCCCCCCCCCCCCCCCCCCCCTCGAGCTTGGAGGGGGTGCCTTCGGTATCCCCTGTGAGGTCGTCGTTTTGGAATGCGTCTGAGTTCCCTTGTTTCGGTTGTAGCTCAGTGGCGTGCGAGTTCGGAACGTGAGTTTAAGTTGGCAAAGTTTTTCGTCTGTCGTCGTGCGCGTCCTCCCAGACCTGAAGCGACGGCCCATTTAATGCGATGTGTCTGTTACGCTTCCTGTTGGCCATGAAAAGTCGCGCCTTTTCAGAGCCTTTCTACGTGGCGTCAACTGATTCGTCCGCGTCGAGCGGCGTGTCGATTCAGAGATTGGCGGTTTTCATGGGCGCGTGGTATCCACGCTGTTGTTTCCCGACCGTCGGATCACGTTTTCTCTAGCCGTCGGATCGAGTTTTTAATTTTGAATTTCAAACGTATGCCACGCGTCACCTTGTGATTGGGCGAGAGCCTGTATATATAGGGGTCTTCGTCTTCCTCAAGAAACTTTACTGTTTCTGAAATTTTTTCGAGCGACCAAGTTTCCGAGCAAGAATTCAAGGCGATTTTTGAGATTTTTCCGAGCTTCTCCAGCGACTTTTACACCGGTAATTTCACTTTTCCAAGATCATTCTTCTTATTTTCCGATTATGTCGAGTTCTTCTGGTTTTGCGGCGAACCTCCCCGTCAGAGATGGTGGTTATACGGCGGAGGAGACCGCCGAGATGGTCGTTTACTCTCCTCCGGCGGCGGGGACGGTGCAGCCGCTTAGGGTCACTCCAATTTCGGCCGTTCGCGTGACATCGATGGCGGCGACGACGGGCCCACGCATGGAGAGTCCTCCGGAGTTTCCCACGGTCGAGATTATTGACCTCGGTTCCAGTTCGTCAGACGCCGAGATGGGCGAAAAGGAAACCGGCGCCGACTCCGCTGAAGAGTCCGACGTCGACGCGGAACTTGTCTCCGAGACCTTACAGGGCGATACCCATGGGCGAGAACGGGTTCTCATTGGCCGCGAGGATGCCGAGATCGACGCTGCGGTTGAAGCCGCGACCTTGGCTTCTCCTGGTTGTTGGTGCCGCCCTGCGCGCGTTTGGCTGTCCGTCGCATCGGCAACTGCCTGGACGACTGCATCAGTGCTAGGGATGTAGACCTCGCCCAGTTAAGGGGAAAGGCTTGCTTCGGTCCTCGGGTTCGAGTCTTCGCTCCCTACGCCGGCGAGCGTATTCACTGCCCACCGCTAGGCTGCATTGGCGTATACTGCTCGAGCGTCCTACTCGATCTCCGATTCCCGTTACCGGGAGCTTTGAATGACATCCTTAGCGACCTCGACATCGACATCAGTCAGCTCGTGCTGACGGTTTTCGCTCGGCTGGTTAGTCTCATCGTCTTGTTCCGCCAACAGGGCTGGGCCGACCTGAATTGTGACGATGTGAGAGCCCTATTCGTCTTCAAGAAATCCGGAGAGACCAAAAACTAGTATAACTCAGTCTCCCTGGGCGTGGACAGATCCTTGATCTATAAGGTCCCCGAGTCGCTGCACGGCTACATGCCGGAGTGGTTTTGGGTTGGCGGCGAGTGGAGAACGCCCGACGCAGCTCGGCACCTGTCCACTGAGTTCATCTCTGGCACATGTGAGTTGCCTTTTTTTTTATTCGCTTTTATCCTTCTGATTAGTTGTCTTTCCATGATAACAGGTCGATATTTTCATTTTAGTCCATAATCCTCGAGTTGATCCAAGCGACGATCTGGTTGTGAAGGTCAAAACCCTGCTGGGACTTGCTGAGGAGAAGCGGTACTACAAGGATCTTGTTGCTGGGAAGAGTCTAATTCTGCACGGTCTCTGCCCCGACTACAACAGCAAGTCCTCCCAGCTCGGTACTGTCCCTTTCCTTTGATCTTCTTAGACTCTTCTTTTTCTTTTTATGTGTGTATATATATATATATACTTTTATACTTGTTCTTACCCCGTCTTCTGCTCTTCTTGGGCAGCATACTATCCCCTCTTGCGTGAGTGTGGGTTCAGCTCGGTGAAGGAAGCAAACAAACACGTCCGCGCCCATCCGAATTCGTTAAAGGAAAGAAAGATGGCCAGCCGCATGGACTTCTTGATGAAGCAAAGCAAGAAGAAAGCTCCGGCGTCGAGCTCGGTGGGGACTTCGGGTCCTGCGCCGCCTAATCCAGTAGCTGAGGGTGTTCTTCCTCGGGAAGCCGAGATACCCTTCGGCTCGGTGCAAGTGGTTCCCGACTCCGTGCAGGGGGGCCGGGCTGGCGGCCGAGGAGGCCGGGCAAGTGTCCGTGAGACCGGCGCCGGCCGCGGCCGAGGCACCACCGGCCAGAGCGCAGCCATGCGGCAAAGGAAGCGTCGGCTCCTCGCAGAAGAGCCGGAGGAGTCGGGGAGGAGGTGGAAGCCGAGGTGCGGAATGAGGCCCCTCCGCCTCCGAAGAAAAGTAAGACGGCCGAGGTCGAGAACACCGCCCTTGCTGGCGAATCGTCGGCCTTCGTTCATCAGGTCGGGTCCTCCACTTACATTCCGGTGAATCCGAGCCGCAAGGCCAGCCTCTCCAAGAGCCTCGAGCAGTTCCCCGACCGGTGGTTCATTGACTCGAGGTCGGCGATCCCGTTCGACTTGCCAAATCCCTACCATCTACCGGGAGAGGTAATGTCCGCAGTGCGTGCCGTGATAACGGCCTGGACCCCAGTTGCCGAGACGGCGGTAGCCATGCTCTCCCCAACGCAGCTTATCCAGCACTCGATGGCGACCATGGGCCGGGCTATGGTTGAGCTGGTGCATGCTGCCGGGGTCATGCAGAGGGAGGTGGCTGCCCGCAACAAGGCTGAAAAGGACCTCGCCACTTCTAAGGGCCGGATCAACGAGCTGAAGGACGAGACCAAAAGAGTTTCGATGTTAGAGAATAAGCTCGTCCTTCAGCAACGCGCTGCCGCCAAGGCTGAGAAGGTGGCCGCGGAGGCCGCCGAGGA